GGTTTGGGTCTGTGTTGAAAATAAACATAAAATGGGCTGATTCATACGCAGTTACAAAAACCCGAGGAGATAAGAGTTTAAAAGGAATCTCACCCTGTGCTTCCACCTTCAATCAGTAGCGTTGGCTCTCTGCATACCTACCACTGGCACCCAGACCAAGCGTGCTATCACGAGAGACACAACAGCCTTAGAGAAGACAGAAGCAGGAGTTTGGGAGATCAAGGGAAGGCTGGAGTGACAAGAGGTTTGAGGGCACGTTATCCATCAGCAGAAGAGAGTGGATCTTCAGCACATCCAACAACAAAATCAATGTGTGCTCTTCCACACCAGGAGGACAGGATGGGAAGACACCAACCAGATCTCTCAACGGCAGCAAAACTAACAAATTGGCGCCTAGAGGTGGAAAGGGATTGTCGCTCACCAGAAGAAGGCTTCAGGCTGCAGCTCCATGGCAAGTTGTTGCATCTCCCACAGCCAGGAGGAAATGGCCCACCTTTTGTAGGAAGGGCCTTCACCTTAATCAATAATTAACTTCATTTATAGCAGCTGGATCCACAATTCCCCCTTTTTGTTTACTGGTTTTTAGAACTTCACAGAATTCTCACTTCCCTCTTTCAGGGTTAACTAGAATTCTTGCTTCCCTCTTTTCGGAGTAGCTTTACCTTCTTTGACGAAGAAATTCTTGCTCTGGCTCTTCTGGCACTGGCTCCAGCACTGGCCCTGGCAGGGTCTCTTTCAGGGTCTCTTAATTATCACATCGGGGTCATCAGATGTCACTCACCAGAAGAAGGCTTCAGGCTGCAGCTCCACGGCAAGTTGTTGCATCTCCCACGGCCAGGAGGAAATGGCCCGCCTTTTGTAGGAAGGGCCTTCACCTTAATCAATAATTAACTTCATTGATAGCAGCTGGATCCACAATTCAATCTTTTTGTTTAAATTTTAACTTCATTGATAATTAACTTCATTGATAGCAGCTGGATCCACAAGGGATGAGCGTATCCAGGTCTCAGAAGAGAAGTATCTGCTAAACAGCTGGATATCACTCCTAAAGAAAGGAGAAACACTCTTCCCGGAGCACAACAGCAGCACATTTACCACAAACCAGGACACCAGTGATAAAACATCATTAATCCCTCCAAGTGTTACAGGAGATATGCTATTAAAATCCCAAATCAAGTGCTAAATGGAGTGGCTTCCTACCTTAGTGTTGACAACTAATAGAACGTGTTACTAATTAAACTCTAGTGTTCAGTGAAATTCAGGGGGAAAAAAAGGTCTTTTTGGTACTTCAAACAGAACTTTATATATCATTCCCATAATGAATTACTGCTGGTATCAATAACTGTTTATATTTCATGTGGAGGTGTCTCAGCTAAACTGCAGGTATCGCTCCACGCAGATTTTGGAGTCCACCTGTATCTAGAGAGCTAAGATAATGGTGTATTTACTTGGCCAAAGCAACAGAACATCATACTGCTGTAACAGCAGAGAGGAAACACCCAATATTAATTAAAAATAGTTTACTTATATTCTGGAATAGATTATATTTAACTCACTGGGCAGCAAGAGATATCTAAATGTCTGCCACCTTGGTCCCTAACATCCTAGACAGAATCATTAAGTTTCCATTTAGGTTGTAGAGGGGAGAACAAAGTAATTATGGAATCAGATTCCAGATTTCAGTTCACATGACAAAGAGAAAGGATGATCCCAGCAGAAAGCATGCTCTCAGACTACACAAATGAGTGCCCAGACTTGCAGCATATTCTGTGCACTACGATCATCACCGCATAATTAATATGTTGTCAGGAGAGGTGGATGGAAAAAAAAAAATCAGTGGGGTGACTGGGAGTCAAGCATCATAAAGAAAACGTCATCTACTCAACATCTCAGCATGTGTGTTTATTTTAACAGGCTTTTTAATAGGAGGTTTTGTTTCTTTTTTGCCAAACACTTGAGCTAAAATGGAAAAATATCTCATTTTAGGATATCATAACAGAATAGACAGAAATAGACATTCAAAATTGAGGCCATCATCCTCACATTCCAGAGTAGGCTGTGATCTATTTTTATTTACTGCCTTTTCAAAATACTGCATGCAGGAGGACGTTTTCACCCCACTAGTAGTCAAACTTCATAAAAAGACAATGTCAAGGGACACTAAAAGATCACATCTAGGCAGAAAGGTGATCCTTTAGTTTACACCTGTAATGTGACATCTTTTCAGAAGATCGTGCGTATCAGAATCCCTAATATCTACCTTAACACTGTACAAGGAAGCTACTCTTAAAGATTCATTTTTCTGAAATCTGAAAACCAAATATGTCAATCTGAAAAGTGAAAATGGAGGTAAAGGGATGAGTCTGTTTGGTTTTAGATACTTAAGCAAATACACAGAAATAGTAGATGACCTTAGATGAAAAAGAAATTTCAAAAGAAAAACACACCAGTGTATTTCAAGTCATTAGAAACATGTCAAACATTTTATTTCCAAAGAAATACCAATACATTTAGTCTGCCATTCAACATCCTGTCATTAGGAAAAAAAAAATCATTTAACGTGAAATATAAAATTAATTTAACACAATCATGTAACAATTAATGTATAAAAAAGCCTTATCACTTACTGGCTGATTCCCTCAAACGAAGCTTCTTTGGAGACATTTCCGCTATCAGTATTAACACCACGCTGGGAGGGAAAAGATTAAAAGGATCATGACTCTGAGCCAAAAAAAGTATTTAAAATTTAAATCACAGGAAGAATCTGATTGCAGTAAGTCTTTGGGAAAACGTATATGTAAGTTTACTTGAACCACTACAACTAAAAAAAATCCCTTGACTGTTCAAATGCAGACCAATATAAGAAATTGCTCATTTCACAAGAAACCAGCGTAGAACCAGACTAGGATGTGCTGCACAGGAAAATGGTAAGCTTTGATTTCTAATTCCCTTATGTCTTGAGAGGGAGCTAGGAGACCTACATAATAATAAAGGGCAAGGGAATAACAAATGGGCAAGATTTCTTTTAAAGTAATTTCATTTAAAAATAAATTATTACACACTGCCTTGGCAATGCTTACTATTTAAATTTGCATGCTGTTCCCCCCACCCCTTATGCAAGCAGCATAAGCAAGAGTATTTTGGCTGCTACACAGCAGATAAACACTTCTGATATGTGCCTGAGAAACCCTGTGGAGCAGCCTTACAGTTCTGTTTTTGGAACAAGACCACAGGAGGAGAGGACCAAGTTTCCATTTAGCCGGCAGAAAGAGAAGGGCTCCTCCCTTCTCTGTGTACTTCTTCATGGCAGTGGGAGGAATGTGAAACATCACAGCTCCATCCTCTCAGCGAGGAATTAGGTGCAAATTCCCAATTACCACAGGATGCTCACAGGGTGACAGCTAATCAGAAACTTTATGTGCAGAAATGAATGGTAAGAAGCACAAGATGGTCAAATATTCCCTTTGCCACTCATTTCCCTTAAAGAACATAGAAAAAGCCATAGGGTCATCTTTTATTATGTGCGTGTGTGTGTGTATACAAATGTAAGCGGAAGAAACACTGAAAATTATTTAGGGCCTCTGTTCTTAATGGATAGAGAGATCAGATCCCTGGTCATTTTTTGTAAGACTTATCTGGCAACTACCATGGGAAAACAAGAAATCCAAGAGCAGCCATTGCATTTGTTGTAAGTGAAAGTTCAGAGGGATCAAATAATTTCTTATATAGGTTGGAGACAAGAAATCAGATGCTCTTAATAGCAAGAGGTTTACAAAACATCTGTCAAGGAAAGAAGCTGGGGGAAAGGTGATGGGGAAGAAGAAACTTGCAGGCTTTACATCCATTCATCCTTCTTCCAGAGAAGCACCATTCAAAATACTTGGCAGGCATGTGATATCACTCCCTCCTCCCAGAAGTTGTGCTTACCAACCCACTCAACGCAGAAAAAGTATTTCTTGAATCTTTATGGGATTCCCAAAGGCACAAACATGTTCATGACATGAACAGAGCAGTAGAAGAGAAAAATGGAGTTTGGAGTCATTGTACATAGGCTGGAGGACAGCATGGCTGACGTTAGATAGGTTTGTCATGTTTTACCAGGAAACAGGTAAAGCTTTTGGCAGAGGGAATATGGACTGAAAGGCCAGAGGTTACAAATCTTGAGATCATGGAGGAGTCAGAAGACTAGATGACTACACATAGGTAGCTAGGGAGGAAAAGATAGGGAATGAGTGCAAAGAAATACTGAATAAACTGATCTCCTTATTGAAGAAAATGGGTAGTTGTTCTTCAGAATATGACGACTCACCAAAGTAAGGAGCACAGCAGGTTTCTTTGAAGCCAAGACACTGGATATCTAAAAAGAAGTTTTAGATTGCTATTATTTTTCTTTTTTACTTCCTTATAATCGCATTGATACCAGTTTCATCAACGTTTGCTGTACACAAAGTAAACAAGTTGCAAAGACAAAAAATGATGCTCTAATACCTTTCAGATATTTTAGTATTACCTGACACTTGCAACAAGAGTCAGTAGATCACAAAATATTTACACAGAAATGCAGTGCTCAAGTTGTTGGTATCCTTTAAAGACATCAATACCAACCATAACTTAAGATTAAGTCTGCTGTCATTATTTGGAAGACACAGGAAATATGAGCAAAAAAGCTGTAATGTCACACAGAAATAAGGAATACCAGGGTACTCTGTATCCTCAATGCATATAAAACACACATGCATTAACGTTACTATATTACAATTTGCTAAATACTTAGTAATGAATATTTACTGTTATTCTCATTGGGTCATCTACTGACTACCACTTGTATTAGGCTCTTTCAGTATCTTTCAAACATTTACAAACTGAGAACAAAATCACTGGGCTTGTAGAGAATTGGGCTTTTGAGCAGCTGCAGAATGGTGGGCACTGAATTACACATTCCTTGAGGGAATGAATAGATGACATAATTCCATGGAGCACAGTTCTACTAACTTAAAACCAGCTTAATAGCACACTAACAATATTAATAAAGGAAAGTATATGGCAGTAAGGTATAAAAATATTCCACATTACTTGTTTTTTTTCTCCCCATGAAATATCAGGATTGCACACCACACAGGTTGGTCATTTGCTGACATAAACTATCCTGTAAATAAGGACCCTACCCTAGTCCCCCTCATGGTGGAAAACCAATTCCTTAGCAAACTAGGTAAAAGTTATAGACAGAACTTTTGAAAGTTGAACAGTTTTTTTGCAAGCTTCAACAGCTTCTACCTTCAAACCATATAGTCCAGGTGAAAAATAGTCTTTATGTTGGGACAATTTACTGGGCGACATAAAGAGGTCTTTTTCCCATCAATGAGTTTTTAAAGTAGTAAGGAAGCAGCAAACAGAACTGCAATAAAGGCATTTGTTGATGGAAAGTGACCCAAAACAAATAACATGACCAAAAATAAATGCTATTTTTAAAAATAAAACATGTATTTTCCACTTGCAATTTTCACCGTCTGACAGATGAGCATTGGAGCGCCCGCACTCTACATGACTCCAACTCACACATGTCAAAAAGCAGCCTCTCCACAGCTTCCTCCACCACCAGCTACTGAAATACAGGATCAAACTTCACTTCATAGCTGGACTCATTATGAAAATGAAATGAAACATCCTCACAGCTGATGAGAGCAAAATTTTTGGTCTAGTGAGTCAGAGTTAGTGCTCTACAGGGACAGAAGTATCGGAGTCTTCCTTTGCAAGCTGCTCTCCATGAAAATCACGCACAGAGCTTGGCAAGAATACTGCCCTCACCCTGCTGAGTCTTCCTACCAAAGAAACTGGTCAGGTGCATAAGTGCATAAACATCTGCTCAGAAATGAAATGAGAAACCTAATGAAGCAAGTCACACTTGTATTTAAAAATATGAATATATTTTCTTATTCAAATATTAGAATTATTCAACATAAACTAAGAGGACGGCAGGGCAGTCTTTCCTCACAGCTCTTTGGAGGCATAAAATAAATGCAGGCTCCCAAGTCAGAGCTAGGACATGCAACCTCCCTGACAGCAACCGCCTCAAATCTCCAAGGCATTGCAAAAAATGTATGTAGCAATAGGTTCCTGTTGGATAAAGACACAGACTGACAGGTCTCATGATGCACAGAACATGTTTATGGGACTGTCTTTGGATTAAGACCTTACTGTCCAGTTCAAAATGGCAGCATTTAAAAAAATAAAGAAAAAAATATAACAAGTGCTTTATAAGTATGAAGGACATTTTCTAGTAACTGGGGGGGAAACGTCCCACCAAGTCAGGAGACATCCAGTAAGCAGAGGACTAAAATTAAGCAAAATCATTGCCACATATTGATTTTGTATTCATTGAAAAACACTCAGAGACACAGACAACTCACCTCGTTCACATAGTGGACTTCATCCACAGCATATTTTTTCTTGAAGAATTCAGGGGGTTGAATCCTTTGGAAAACAACAAAAGAAACGTTTGGGTTTAGCTTAACTGTTATATTTAATAAGGCCACAGACAAAGAAATAATGTCCTCTACTATCACAACAATAGAATCAGATATGAAGAATGCTTTAATAATCTTATCCTTGACTCCATTTCTCAAAATAAGAGATTACACACAAAGTTACCACAGCTACAAAAACCAGTGTGTTTTAATCTAGTCTGTAATTGATACTTAGATTTCATGGCCTCCTCCTGAATTAAAGGGTTTTTCTTCCCATTCACTCTACACAAGACAGTTTCGTTAAAGATATTTGCCATGCCATTTGTATACAGCTTTCCAACTCACCAGATGTTGGAAGGATGTGGAAATCGCAAAAGACCAGTTTGCCCTGTGTTATATTCAAAGAATGAACAGAACATTCATTTCTTCCCTGGTAACCCCTCTGATGTGAACATGAAGCAGATTGAGGGCTACTAAGACATGGGCTCTGCTGCCTCTATTCCTTGGGACACCAGAGATTCACTCCTCTAACCCAACAGGGTGGGCAACTTTACATGTCCATGCCCAAACTAAATCACTTCTGCTTTTTTCTCCCAATACCCAACAAGAGACTTTTTTCTAAATGCAAGAAGAACATGGGAGTCCTGTGAAAGATCTGCCTGCAGTCAGGGCAGACACTGGTGTGGATCAGTGCTCCAGGGTTCTCCCACTGACCCCGTGCCAGTGGCTGTACCATTGCTCATTCCTTCACTTCATGGTAGCAGCCAGTTATTCACAAGATTTTAGTCTCCAGTTACAATCTCTATTCACCCTCAAACTAAAATAATCAGTCTAATTCGAAAAACGTAATCTCGAAAGAAAAAAAGAAAAAACCCACCCAGCCTACATCCTTCCACAGAATAAAGAAAACAGGAGAAAAAAAGGTGGTTGGAAGAGCCGGAGTTTGGAGGATCCTGTGCATTTTGCTTCCTGAGAGACAGCAGGAGAGCAAGAGCTATGTGCAGGACCGAACCTTCAGCTCTTTAAGAGTAGATACAAGAGCACAAGGCCAATTGGGGAAAGAATAAATTAGGCGGGAGAGCGAAGAACATTGCAGTGAGGAACAGCAGAAGTGGCAGGACAAACAGCTCAGCATCTTCAAGAGGTGCTCCATAACAAGGGCAGGTGCAGCAGCTGCCTGCAGTACCAGGTGGCTAGAGCTCTGATTTACGTCATTTTTCCAGTGTGCATTCATTTTTCATTCCTTTATGCTCCAAACAGTATTGGGCTGAGATACGAACAACAACATGAAAACATTTACAATGTTCTCAAGCAGTAAATCACAGATTTTTTTTAAAATTTCTTTATCTGTGAAAGTACTACTCAAAATTAACACAAAAAATCTCATTATATGTTCCCTTTTGCAATGCTCCTTTTGTGGACTCTTCCCATCATCTCAAAGCAATTATCATTTATCTTCTCTCCCTGGCTAATTTCACATATAATTTAAAAAAATCACTATATTCTCTCATCTTTCTACACCCTATATTTTACAGTTCCCTTACCTCCAACTTTTGCATACTCTGTTACTCCTACAGGCATCTCCTTTCCCCCTCCTTCATTCCTCACACATTCAAGTACTTTAATATTCCAGAAACATCACGAACAGATTTAGCACTTTCCATTTTGCTCTCTTTTACAGTTTCAACCAATTCATCTGATATCAGAAGAATGCCAACTGTAAAACCAGATAATTTATGTCCAATGGTAATTTATGGTAATATATGCTCTTTAGAGCAATACCTCCAAAGCACCATTTACAATTAGTGCATTGTTCAAATAAAAGAACTGTGTCTTGTAAAGTAAATATTTCTTTAAAGTATGCCCACAAATGTGCTGGGTTTTATTCACTTCACTTAATGTAGTTTAAGTAAGAGTAGGTCTCATTTTCCAACACACCAATAAGAAAACTTTTGTCTTTTCACAAGCTGTTTTCAAATTATTTTTTTTTTTGTTAGTTGCCTCCTATAATTGTGTGATCTAGAGCACACTGCTGCTAATTCTTTGGTTATGGTTAATATTAATCCATTATTGATTCTATTCCAGCTGTAATCTCTTCAACATCTCTTCTTATGTATACTATCACTCTTTTCTTGAGGAACAAAAGCAGTCATCATCCCTTCAAGGATGAGGATTTTTTTCTCTACTTTGAGAGAAAGCGGCTTCTCACAATCCTCTGTCCTCTCTCCCAGTTACTAAACTAGGTCATCTGTCAGGTACTTTCGATTCCATCACACCTAATGACAACCTGTCACATTTCCCAGATGTCTATCTCCTTGCTGGTGTTCTTGCTACCTTGCTCAGAAGTCAGCAAGACTTTTAGTACGAAGCAGACCCAGACTTGTCAGCCCCTCTCTGAAGTACTCAAGGCTCTGCCTCACTTCTTTTCTTCAGCCATTTAGCACCTCTGACTAGATGATAAAATAAACTCATATCCTTCCCACAAACTACCAACCCCTGCCCATCCCAAGGGAGCCATGATGCTTCGGTGATGAAGCCACCTCTCCCACTGGCAAGATTTCTGCAAAGACCTACCCTATAGCAGAACCATACACGTGGAAGAAAAAAGTGCACACGGAAGCCTACATTACATCGGGAAAATTCTGTGCTGACACATATAGAAGAGCAGTACAGAAGGCAGAACAAAAGCTCAGGGAGAAAGAGGAGCAAAGATGATCCTAATTGAGACCTTTCCGTATTTTCTCCAGTCTCTTTAATTTTTTTTCCCAGTTCAGCGGGTACATATGAAAGATTATGATGCACCAACATCGTATTTGCTGTAAAAAAGTACCAGCCTTAGCAGATACAGAGCTCAGTATTCATTTTTATCCAATTTAAATGCAAAACAGGCTAAAGTCTAGCACTGGCCATCACTGTCATGAGGAACGGTATCTTCCACAGAATGCTCACAGGCATCATGAAAATTGGAAGTTACATTCAGTTATGACAATTTCAAGTACATCTGATACTTCATAGAGATGAGGAGTACTTCTCTCTGCAAATGACTCTCAGGCAGGTAGAATAAGTTAATCGGTCACAATTTTTAGGTTTGGCTTTGTCTTCTGTAACACTGCTATGCGCTGCCAGTTTCAAAATTCTGATTAATCACTGCAGAGACTACACACAAAAAAATCCACAGCGAGTCATAAATTCTTTAGAAGGATTACCCAAGTGAAGGTATGATCCCACATACTATTGAATCACATCTCTCCTTACCTATCAAAACCCCCAAACTTTTGTAAACAGATGTGAACAGAAGCAACGGCCTAATTTTTACAGACTTTTTGAGGAGGAAAAAGAAGGTACAAAAATTTTTAGTTTCACTGGTAACATAAATTAGCAAAAACCTATGAAGAAAAATGCATTTCGGCCCTAAAAAGGCTCAATATCCTTTCCCTATAGTTTTATAACTCCAGCCAAGCAAATACTAGTGTTCATTAGAAACATCAAGAGTTAGTTTCTTGAATAGCAGGAGTCATCATTTTATCTTATAATGGAAATACGCAACTCCATACTCCTGGAACTGCATCATGCCCAAGTACACATGCCCAAGAGGCTAGGCAAAAATCTGGCATCTCATAGTTTATGGCCATTAGAAGGAAAATGTAAGAGTCCTGCACTTCTTTATATTTACAAGAATACAGTCCTCATTTTTTTTCACCAAAGGATCCCTCAAACAAGAGACCGTCTCTAGTTCACCACTTAAAATTCATCACAATTTCCAGTCCAGTGAAAAAGCTTGAGTTATTTTGGGTTAAACATCAAAGCTGTTTACATTCTGCTGATGCTTCCTACGTACTTGTCCCACTTCCATTCTCTTCTACCCAAACTAGTTCACCTACTTGGCTTCTTACTCTCAAGATTTTCGTAGCAACTGGGAAATGCTGAAATGGCCTAAAGATGCGAAGCTACATTTTTAAGAGAAGATTCAAATTCTGAAGTACTGTTTCTTTTTAAGAGCTAAGGTTTTATTTAAGCACCAAATGCTGAAGATTCACCTTTCGACCATAACAAGTGACAACTTTATTATAAACAAAATTCTACTGAGGCAGCAATGAGAAAAAGAGGAGAAGAAGAAGCAGCAGCAATACTTTCACTATAAAAATACAGTGTGAAATGTTAAGTCAGACAGTAAAGTAATACACCATGTTAGCTACACCTCATTTCTCTTCTACATCGATCAAACACGAAAACCACCAGCACAAGAGTAAGGGGCTGTAGTATTAAAAACTAGAAACCAGACATCCCAGTCAGTCAATCAGCTTAGTGAAAACTTCCAAGTTTATTCTGAACCATTCCATTCGGTTTAACTAAATTCACAGTGGTACATGATGGCATGTTTAAAACCCAAGATACTTCACCAAATCACAACCTAATCATGCCAGTGCACATTTTGCCACCAGCTTTGACAGATCACAGTGTTACGACTGGCTCCACTTCAGCAAGATCTTTCAAACAAGAAGGTAATACTGACTCCTCTGTTTATCCATCAGTAAGATGAACAGCTCTGGTGGCCTATGTATAATACACCGAAAAATATATTTTGAAGTTTTTATACAGTTGGACAATATCCAAACCTAATTTTTTTTGCAATATCTTATTAACCATGTTGTGTTTCCACTTTAAACCCAAGAAAAACTTGGTCTCATTGTCTAAAACCATTTTAAAGCTGTTGTTCATTACATTGCACAAGAATTCATAACAGCAAATCTTAAGAGATTTGTACAAATTAGATATTACCGTAAGAATTCCATTCAGCAACATTTCTTTGTATTCTAAAGGACTCTGGAGCAAGAGTTTCGTAATACCAACTCGATAAAAGAGTGTTCTAGTTTTCAGAACTGCATTCAGAAGAAAGGTACAAATGAGATGGATCTAAATCACAAACGCCAAAGAAAAACCGTGACGGAATTTCTAACAGTTGATGGCTATTCCTAAAAGCAATGCATCTAAGCCAACTGCTAATAT